ATTAGTCCACTGTTGTAAAAAGTCAAGGAAAGGATTATAGATAGAAGAAATCTTTCTTTGTTCATTATCAGGGATGGAAGGAGAGGGGAGGGAAATTTCTGTTGCTATTGTTATTAAGTGCCATCAAGTCATCTCTGACTCAGCAACCCTATGCACAGCAGAACGAAACACCTCCTGATCCTGAGCCAACTCCACGATTCTTGCTACATTTGAGCCCATCACTGCTGTCATCGTGTCAATCCACCTCGTTGTGGGCCTTCCCCTCTTTCGACAACCCTCCACCTTATCAAGAATGACATTCTTCTCCAGGGCATGGTCCCTTCTGACAACATGATGAAAGTATGTTAGACAAAGTCTGGCCATTCTCACCTCCAAGGAGCATTCTGGCTGCACTTCCTCCAGGACAGACCTGTTAGTTCTTTTAGCAGTCCACAGTACTTTCAGCATTCTTTACCAACACCACAGCTCAAAAGCATCAACTAACTCTTCTTCATTCTTTCTTATTCATTGTCCATCTCTCACATGCATATGAGGTGATTGAAAATACCATGGCTTGTGTCAGGTGCACCCTAGTCCTCAGGGAGACATCTTTGTTCTTCTGCACTTGAAAGAGGTTCTTTGCAGCCAATTTGCCCAGTGCTATAGGTCGTCTGATGTCTGGACTGCTGCTTCCTTTGGTGTCAATTGTAGAACCAAGCAATGTGAAGTCTTGGATGACCTCAATCTTCTCTCCATTTATTGTGATGCTGCTCATTGGTCCAGTTGTGAGGATTTTTGTTTTCTTTATATTGAGACGTAATCCATGCTGCAGATTGTATTCTTCAATCTTCATCAGTAAGTACCTCAAGTAATCCTCACTTTCAGCAAGCAAAGTTGTGTCGTCATAATATCACAGGTTATTAATGATTCTTCCTCAAATCCTGATGCCACATTCTTCTTCATATAGTCCAGCTTCTTGGATTATTTCCTTTGCATAGAGGTTGAACAAGTATGGTGAAAGGATACAACCCTGACACACTTTCTTCTTCATTTTAAACCATGCAATGTTCTCTTTTTCTGCTTGAACAACAGCCTCCTGGTCTATGTACAGGTTCCTCATGAGTACAATTATGTGTTCTGGAATTCCCATTCTTCTCAATGTTGTCCACAATTTGTTATGATCCACACAATCAAATGCTTTTGCATAGTCAATAGAACACAAGTAACCATCTTTCTGGTATCCTTTACTTTGAGCCAAGATCCATCTGACATCAGCAATGATATCCCTCATTCCATGTAGTCTTCTGAATCCACCCTGCAGCTCTGGAAGTTCTCTGTCAATATACTGTTGCAAACGTTTTTTGAATTATCATCAGTATCATGTTGCATGTGATATTAATGATATTGTTCAATAATTTCCACATTCTGTGTTATCCCCGTTCTTTGGAAGCGAAGCTTCCATATGTTGAAACATCTCAATGGGTATTCCATAATTTTCTGGAACCTTGTTCCTTACCAATTCCCTCAGTGAAGTTTCAACTCATCCCTCAATGTCATTCGTTCTTGATTATATGCCACCTCCTGAAATGGATGAAGATCGGCCAGTTCTTTTCGGTACAGTGACTCTGTGTATTCCTTGCATCTTCTTTTGATGCTTCTGCATCATTCAACATTTTGCCCATAGAATCTTTCAATTTTGCAACATGAGGCTTAGATTTTTTCCTCAGTTCTTTCAGCTTGAGAAATGCCAAGCGTGTTCTTCCTTTTTGGTTTTCTTACTCCAGGTCTTTGCACATTTCATTATCGTAATTGGCTTTGTCTCCTCGAGGTGCTCTTTGGAATCTTCTGTTCAGCTCTTTTATCTTGTCATTTCTTCCGTTTGCTTTAGCTACTCTCCACTCAAGGGCAAGTTTCAGAGTCTCTTTTGACATCCATTTTGGTCTCTTTTTCATTTCTCTTATTTTTAGTGACCTCTTGCTTTCTTCATGGATGATGCTCTTGATGTCATCCCACAATTCTTCTTCTTTTTGGCCATTGGTGTTCAATGCATCAAATCTGTTCTTCAGATGGTCTCTAAATTCAGGATGGATATATTCAAGATCATATTTTGGCTTTTGTGGACTTGATTTAATTGTCTTCAACTTCAAGTTGAACTTTCATATGAGCAGTTAATAGTCTGTTCCACAATCAGTTCCTGGCCTGGTTTTGACTGAAGATATTCAGCTTTTCCATCGCCTCTTGCTATAGATGTAGTCAATCTGATTCCTGTGTACTGTATCTGGTGAAGTCCACGTGTATATCTGCTGTTTGTGTTGTTGAAGAAAGGTATTTGCAATGAATAAATTGTTAGTCTTGCAAAATTCTATCATGCAATCTCCAGAGTTATTTCTGTCACCAAGGCCAAATTTTCCAACTATCGGTGATTCTTCTTTGTTTCCAACTTTTGCATTCCAGTCACCAGTGATAAACAACACATCTTGGTTGCATGCTTGATCAATTTCAGACTGCAGAAGTTGATAAAAATCTTTAGTTTCCTCATCTTTGGCTTTGGTGGTTGGTGCATAAATTTGAATAATAGTCATATTAACTGGTCTTCCTTGTAGGTGTATGGATATTATCCTATCACTGACAGCATTGTACTTCAGGACAGATTTTGAAATATTCTTTGTGATGATGAATGCCACACCATTCCTCTTCAATTTGTCGTTCCCAGCATACAAGACCACATGGTGGTCTGTTTCAAAATGGCCAAAACCAGTCCATTTCAGCTCACCAATGCTGAGGATATCAATCTTTATGCATTCCATTTCATTTTTGACAAATTCCAATTTTCCTAAATTCATACCTCGTACATCCCTGTTCCAATTATTAATGGATGTTTTCAGCTGTTTCTCCTCGATTTGAGTCGCGCTACATCAGCTCCTGGACATCCTGAAAGACTTATTTTATCCGTATCATTAAGGTTGGTTCCTCTCTAATGAGGTAGCTCTTTTTCAGTCCTATTTTAAGTGCCTTCCAACCCAAGGGGCTAGTCTTCCTGCACTGTGTGGGACAATGTTTCCAAGCTATTCATAAATTTGCCCAGTAATGTATCAGACAGCGCTTCTCTGCTGTTCATAAGGTTTCCCTGGCCATTTTTTGAGAAGTGGACGGCCTCCTCCTTCTTTCTAGTCTTTCTTAGTCTGTAAGCTGTATTAAAACCTGTGCACCATGTGTAACTCTGCTGGCATTTGAAACATCAGTGGCACAGCCTCAAGCCTCACAGCAGTGTACAACTTCACAGGATTACAAACTGACAGACAAGTTTGTCTCCCTTATCTGTTGGAAACCTCTGCACCCACCTCTTACCTAATTCCTCACTGAAACCTGGCACTCTGTGGTCCCCAGTCGCTCCTGTCACCTCCTTATCCTGGCACTAGGGGGCTTGGGGCCTAGCCTTGCCTTCTGCTACTTTTTACCTGGATATCCTGGCACTCATGAGGTCCCTGAAGCCACTTCTGGTCCATCCCTTTCCTGGTTCTAGGTGGTTTGGGGCCTACTCTTGCCTCCCACCCCTTTTAACTTGGATATCCTGGCGTTCCTGAGGTCCCCAAGGTCACTCCTGGCCTCTCCCTTTCCTGGCTCTAGATAGGTTGAAATTTCTAGATAGGTTGAAAAAAAATGTTTATACACACACGCACACACACACCAAAGATTATTAGTGTTTGCCAAGGATAGGACAGAGGGGCAAAGAGGAAGCTTTTGTTTGGGGAGCATTGAGTTTATGCTAATATGTTAATATGGTGGAATGTTTTGGAAAAGGATAGCTGCAATGGTGACACAACATGAAAACTGTCATCAACATCCCTGAGCTGTAAATGTAGAAGTTATTTTGGTGAATATCTTATTGTGTGTGTTTTCAGCACAATAAGTTAAAAAAAAAAAAAAAAACCTTTTCCTTTATATACTGAAAGCTGACCACATCCCCAAGGCAGCTACTCAGCTGCTCCAGTGCATTACATCATGGAGTTGTTTACCAGTCTTGTCATGAGAAATAACTATGTCCAGCTGCCCAGCCACTCAAATCCAGGCCAAGCCAAGCTGACAACAATTTAACTACCACAACAGTTAATGTATGCAAAATAGTTAGATCAATGGATAATACGTAGCAAGCAGGAAATAAGTGTGGTTATTATTACACAAAATTTATAAGTTCTTCAGATCTTCTTGTAAGACAGTATAACATAGATATAGCTAAGGATTTATTTGGTCCTAGAGTTAAGCCTATTGGGTGTGAATACTTCCCTGTTATTATTTTCCTCATTTTAAAAAGATGGGATGTAGTAGTAGATGCCTCCTTTGTTTTTATGAGTTGAATTAGTCAATATATGTAAAGTATTTAGAAACTCGAAGGCAAACAACAACAACAACATTTAGAAACTATCATACATATGTTGTTGTTGTTGTTATGTGCCATCGAGTCAGCCCCGACTCAGAGCAACCCCTCCTTGGGTTTCCAAGGCAGTATTACTACCAAGGCAGTATTGCCCAACCTTCCTTCCGAGGAGTGGCTGGTGGGTTTGAACCACCAGCCTTCTGGTTAGCAGTCAAGTACTTTAGCCACTATGCTACCAGAGCTCCTATCATACATATAGTAAGCAGATTGTAAATGATAACTATTATCATTCTTTGTGTTGGGTTAATGAATCAGAAAAGCTGGGTCATTGGCCTGAAATTTACTCAACAATCAATAAAACAAAGTTGAAAAAGTACAGACTGTATGAAGCAGAAGAGATACTTTTTTTTTTTTTTGACATATTAAAAAAAGAAAAAGCTGTGCTAATTTGTAAAGGCTTCCTTGAACCAGTGGCTTAGTCCACTTATCCCTATCATTTGATTCTGTTAGTACTCTCAATAAATGCTCTTACTGAATTTTCCCCTGACTTTGTCCAGCTTGGTATTTGGCAACAATTCTGTAGTAAGAGTATCAATTTTGCAACAACTTCCCAAATAACTCCAAAGGGCAGAATTGGCCCTGTACTTTATATCCCTGAAATGTGGACCCCTTGAGTTAACATCTTCTTCAGAGCCAACTTCACGTCTTTGTTTCTTAAGGTGTAAATTAAAGGATTAAGGGAAGGAGTGACAATATTATTTAACACCTGAATGACGGAATCCAGCCAGGGACTGGACACAGGCTGGAGATAGATGAGCATCACAGGACCATAGAACAAGAGGATTGAAATCAGGTGGGCACTACAGGTTGAAAAGGCTCTTAGCCTGCCTTCTGATGACCTGATTTTCAATATGGAAAGGACAATGCGACTATAAGAAGTGAGGATAAGGAGAAAACATGTCAAAGTCACAATATCCACATCAGTAAAACTCACTGTTTGAGCCAGAGAAGTGTCAGCACAGGCCAGGGGCAGCACCACTGGGATATCACAGAAGAAATTGTCCACCTCATTGGGGCCACAGTAGGGCAACTTAAAGATGAGAAAGGTGAGGATGCTTCCATGTAGGCAACCCCCAAGCCAGGTGCCCAGTGTCAGGTTAGTACACACCCTGTGGTTCATGATGACACTATATCGCAAGGGGTGACAAATGGCCACAAAGCGGTCATAGGCCATCATGGTATACAAGAAACACTCGGTGCCACCCAGAACATGGTAAAAAAAGAGTTGGAATGCACAGCCTTGGTATGAGATGGTGCAACTCTGCCCCATTAGGCAGAGCATCATTTTGGGGGAACTCACTGAAGGGAAAAATATGTCAAACACTGAGAGGTTTCCCAGAAAGAAGTACATAGGCGTGTGGAGGTTGGAGGAAGCCAGGATGGTGAGGAAGATGAGCAGGTTTCCCAGTAAGGTGAAAAGGTAGAAGGCCAAAAACAGGACAAAGAGCATATTCTCCAGCCCTTCAGTATTAGGAATTCCCAACAGCAGGAACTCTGTCACGAAAGTGGAATTTCTCATGTTCATGCATCAGGCAGTCCTGGAGAAGCAAAGTGACAATCATAATGTATAACCAAAAGTAACTGAGACAATATCTTCCAAACAAAGTGATTTCTATTTAAGGCAGCTGGTGCAAGCAAATTATAGCTAAGAACAAAAAGAAGACATTAATACATCTAGCCCCCCCACTAAGCACTGTGTTACATTTGGCCTCAGTGTCTTCATCTTTAAATTGTTGTTGTTGTTGTTAGGTGCCGTCGAGTCATCTCCGACTCATAATGACCCTATGCACAGCAGAACTAAACACCTCCAGGTTCTGTGCCAGCCCCACAATCTTTGCTATACCTGAGCCCGTTGTTGCAGCCACTATATCTATCCATCTCATTGAGGGCCTTCCCCTTCTTCATTGACCCTCCACTTTACCAAACATGATATCCTTCTCCAGGGAATGAGTCCTTCTGACAACAGGACCAAAGCAGATGAGACAAAGTCTGGCCATTCTCACTTCCAAGGAGCATTCCAGCCATACTTCTTCCAGGACGGATTTGTTAGTCCTTTTAGCCAACCATGGTTCTCTTAGCATTCTTCTCCAACACCACAACTCAAAAGCATCAACTCTTATTTGGTCTTCCTTATTCATTGTCCAGCTCTCACATGCATAAGAGGTGATTGAAAATACCATGGCTTGGGTTAGGTGCACATTAGTCCTGCAGGTGACATCTTTGACATCCTCAAATTAGATGGTACAAAAACTTATCTTTAAACCTTGTGAAATCCTTACAATAACCAACTCTTCTTCCCAGTTCTGTATAGTTTATTTTCTGCTTTTTATTTTATTACGTGGAAATTGGCATGGAAAAATATATCATCAGGTTGACCAAACCCATGGCCATTAAGTTGATTCTGACTCAAAGTGACCCTAGGATAGAGTAGAACTGCTCCATAGGGTTTCTAACTTGATAATCTTTATGCAAGCAGACTGCCATATCTTTCTCCTATGAAGCAGCTGGTGTGTTCAAAACACTGACCCTTTTGGCAACATCTGAGCACTTTAACTTATGTACCACCTGGGCTCTTTTTCAGGGAGACAAACCCATCTTAATTTCAGCCAGGTCATAATGTGTAGATAAGTCTACTTTCCAAATATATGCAAAAAATTCTGAACCTAAATAGAAATGCTATATACTTACCTATTGTTTTTATTTATAGCCTTCAGTATGGATTATATCTCAACATAAAGAAAACAAAATCCTCACAACTGTACCAATAAGCAACATCATGATAAATAGAGAAAAGATTGAAGTTGCCAAAGATTTAATTTTACTTGGATCCACAATCAACATTCATGAAAGCAGCAGTCAAGAAATCAGCTGGTGTATTGCATTGGGAAAAACCACTGCAAAGGATTTCTTTAAAGTGAAAGAATAAAGATGTCACTTTGAAGATTAAGGTTCACCTAATGCAAGCCATAGCACTTTCAATTGCCTCAAACACATGTGAAAGCTGGGAAATGAATAAGGAAGACCAAAGAAGAATTGATGCATCTAAATTGTGGTGTTGGTGAAGAATGTACCATGGACTGCTAGAAGAACGAATAAATCTGTGTTGTAGGAAGTATAGCAGGAATGCTCCTTAGAAGTGAGAATGGCCAGACTTTCTGTCTTGTACATTGGTTATATTGTCAAAATGGACCAGTTCCTGGAGAAAGGTATGTTTGGTAAAGTAAATGGTCAATGAAAAAGAGGAAGTCCCTGAACAAGATGGATTGACACAGTGTTTAGGATGACAGGCTCAAGCATAGCAACAATTGTGAGGATGACACAGAATCAGGCAGTATTTCATTCTGTTGTGCATGGGGTTACTGTCAGTCAGAACTAGCTTGAGGGCACTTAGCAACAACAGCATTGTTTTTTTTATTATTTTCAACAATACTTTCTTCCATTCATTAACATTTATATTCAAGAAAAAAGTTCTTAACTTATAAGCATGACTTACACACATAAACACACATAATTTCCTGTATATAAATTGGATTGAGTCTAAAACAAGACATTGCATGGATAATAGAAATAACCACTGCATCAAATTCATCTCTCATCAGCTGGGTTTTCTTTCTAGATTATAGACCACACAAATACAACTTTCAATAACATTAATATTATTTCACTCTATTAATCAATGCTGAGTCTCCCTGAGGAACCACAAAAAAACCTGAATGATTTTTTTCCTGAAGATTTTATTTCTCCTTCTGTTCTTTGCACACAATTTTTTGTTAGCTTTCCATGTATAGTCACTGGAATATAATTTATTTACTTCTATCTGTGATTAATAGTCATCCACAGGCCATAATCTATTCTTAATTATTCACAAATCTGTTACCATTCCCTGCATTATTTCCATTCTAATAGACATAAAGTTTTACACAAGGAGAGAAATCTCACTAAGTAGAATTACTGGCAAGAATTTCTGGTAAAGCTAGTCTTCTTCATATAAACTGAAATCCTGAGAAAGATATAAAGAGGAAAATAAAGGGATTTTTTCAGCCTAGAATGTAATTTAAACATTGAATTTGGGCGAGGACAATTTAGTCTCACAGACATACATTTGTTGTCTACTGTGAGCCAAACAGTTATCTGTGAGGAATTTAAAGAGAAATAAAATAAAGCCCTATACCTTGAAAGCCTCATCCAAAGTTATGCAAAACTGATTTCTAATCCTGATTCTACCATTTTCTAGCTCTGGGACCTTGGCCCACTTACTTAATCAGTTTAAGCCTCATATCCTTCAAAAGAAAAATAGACAATAATATTATTCACCACATAGAGTCTTTGTGATGATTTAATAAGATCATAAAAAAAATGGTCAGTGTTCCACAGTAAGTGTTCAGTAGTTAAACAACTAAACCTCATGTATGTAAAATGAAGTATAGGTGACAATGTAGTAATAACAAGAGCATTGCAAATGTAAGGAGAATATAATTAGATATGAGCTGTGAAAAGCATGTAGGATTTTAAAATCAGAGAAGACAGTCAGGTTAGGAGAGTGTTAGTTTCAGCAGGCACACAATAGAGTGTTATTTAAATATACTCGCAGGAATAAAGATATCGCCTTATAGGCTAGAAGTGAATAAATTCTCTCATTAAAGTGACCCTTTCTGTTTCAAACTAAGTATCCAGATTCACATTGCTAAATGACACAAGTGTCCACTCCAAATATGCCTTAGGTAAAGGTATAAATTTAACAACTTTTCTTAGATATACTTCCAAATCCCATCTCACTCCTCTTCTGCAATGGTTATTTAATGCCTTACCATCCAATTTTATTCTCAAAAAAGCATCTGACATCATCAGTCCAAGGAAAAATTCTAGGAATATCTAGGAATATATGTTCCTAAACATAAAGAGTCATTTAGGAAAGTACTACATACCCATCACAGATTTTCCAGCAGAATCTATCAGTTCATCTCTTAGTGAGAGAGCAGAAAGAATTATTCTCCTGCTAAAGGAGAAAAAGGGGCTCTGGTAGCATAGTGCCTAAGGCATTTGACTGCTAACCAGAAAGCTGGTGGTTCAAACCCACCAGCCACTCCTCGGAAGGAAGATGGGGCAATCTACTTCCATAGTAATACTGCCTCGGAAACCCAACGAGGGGTCGCTATGAGTCAGGTCTGACTCAACGGCACATAACAACAACAACAAAGGAGAAAAAGTAGTAGTTTTCTTCCAATTCTATGTTTTAAAATCCCATATTATTACCTTTTTATAAATTATGTGCATTTCACTATCGTGGCACTGAGAGTTGTATTTTAATCCTGAGTCTTTAATGGCTTAATGAAAACATCTATACTGGTTAAAAGAAGTTATAATAAGAAGAAAAGTAGTGTTATTTTTTGTTTGTTCATTTTTTAAAGAAGAGTAGATGTTAAAAGTGGGGATAATGCCTGATTTTATATTAATTAAAAATAGATTCATAGCCAAACAATCTATTGCCTTCAATATCACTCATCTTTCTCCCACAAGTCTTTGAATTTGTACACACTCACACACACAAAAACATGCATACACACACACTTACATACATGTCCCCAAGATTTCTCTCCTCCATTTCTTTCTCAATGCTGGATTACCAGTGGATTGCTGAAGTCGGAACACATAAGAAGTATCCTAAATTTCTTGATTATCTTTCTTCAGTTAGTTGATTGGTGAGGCTCAATGGAGAGTAATAGAAAGAATCAGAGGGAAAGAAAAAGAAAGTGATATAAGCAGAACAAAGATAAAGAGAAGCAGGTTAGCTTGAGACACATACCAGCTGATGGAAAATAAAATAACATGGGTAGAGATAATTTTATAAAGTTTTTAGGCAAGAAGAATGCCTTAAGCCAAAACTTTTTTTGCATAAGATACCCTAGTATAGAGCCAAGGTTTTGCACCTTCTCCTCTTGAATCGACAATACACATAATTGACTCTATATATTCTGCTCTGCTATATAGTCTGCTCTTGAAATTCCGTGTTTGTGATATGTTCCAAACTGAAAACTATTAATCGGCTTGGTATCCTTTGAGACAGCATCCCCAGTGACCTAATTCACAACCTCAAGAAATCTGACAACAAAGGGAGTAATTAAATAGAAGCCCAACTTTCTTTCCTCATATTCCTTTTTCATTCCCCTACCTCATTATTTCATAATATATGGCATATTCATTACAAAAGTAGCATAACAATATTATAGATTATTTTTAAGTGTTTTAAAAAGCAAGAGGAATATATTCCCTCTACCTTAACTTTGTTGAGTGTCAGTGAAAAAGGGGAAGACCCTCAGCAAGATGGATTGACACTCCCTTCAATGATGGGCTCAAGAATAGCAAGGATTATAAGAAAAGTGCATGACTGGGCAGCGTTTTGTTCTGTTATACATAGGGGTTCTTTTTTTTAAAAAAAATATTTATTTTTATTGTGATTTGGGCGAAAATTTAAAGAGCAAATATACTTTCCATACAGCAGATCACATACACTTTGTCTCATGACAT